TGGCCATGCTGGCCTGGGGAACTGATCCTTCCTCCTGCCCCCCCACCCCCACCTTCAGTCTTCTGCTTGGGCTCCTCATACATTCCAGCCTGTTCGATATGTTCTCTGGGTTTTACCAAACCAGAGAGGACAGGCTGCCTCTTATCCCTGTCTCTCAGCACTAGACACCACAATTCCTATGTCCAGGGATGAGTTTCATCCAGGAGGATGAGTCTGCCTGTCTCCCTCCCTTCCTCTCCCCCCTGTCTCTCCCTCCCTCTCTCTGTCTCTCTCTCTCTCTGTCTCTCCCTCCCTCTGTGTCTCTCAGACCTGACACTGGCGCTGTCACCCACAAAGTGCGTGTGGGGTGAGTGTACTTCCACTGGGCAGTGAGGCCAGTATGATGTCCTTGCTGCCTCTCTGTGAGGCCAGTGGTCAGCAAAGCTTTTCTGTGAAGAGCCAGAGTGAACATTTGTGGCTCTGTTGGCCACATAGCCTCTGTCACAACCCCTTGCACTCTGCTGAAGTGTGACAGTAGCACAGATGGGCCATAGACTAGTGGATGATCCTGCCTAGCACTAAACCTTGTTTAGAGAGTCAGGGGCAGGTTTGGTCTGTGGGCTGTGGTTTGCTGACCTGTCACAAGGCAACGAAAGATCAAAAGTCTGGTGTGCATCCACAGAGAGACGCTGCAGCCCGAGTCATTGGAGCAGGAGCAGCAATGTGCGGCCTGCAGTGTCCACGTCACTGGACTGAAGTCCATGTGATGGCGGCTGCACTCTGCCCTCTTGCCGTCTATCCTTAAGCAGTTCCATTTCCAGACATTTATCTGAAGCACGTAGGTCTAGAGGGCATGTCCAGTGACCAGAGACACAGGAAACAGCAGGAACTAGGTGCTTCCCCAGGCTGCAGCAGGCAGGTTGGCCGCGTAGTGGCTGAGGGCTTGGGCTCCAGGTCTAGGAACATACTGGCAGCGGGGCCCTCTGCACCCTGCTTAAACTCTTTTCTCTTAGAAGAAAAGGGAAGAGGACATGCTTGCACATACTTACAGTTCAGGAGGCGCAGAGCAGAGGGGTCTGCCTCGTCCACAGCCCCAGTGCTGCTGGGCAGCTGGCTGGCCCAGGCTGGCTCAGGCTGGCTCAGGCTGGCTCATGTTGTCCTTCCAGGGCTGGTGTGTCGGCAGGGGCAGTAGGGCTGCATGTCGGCCTGTCTTTTGTTGGAAATGGGAATCCGAGTTGAGCATGGCCTCTGACTCACAGACTTGACATAGTAAAGTGTGGGCAAACTGGGGATGGTTTTGAGCAGACCGTGCTGCTCAGCTGCTGTGTCTTTTTACATCTTCTGCATGTGAATACAGAGGCGTCAGCGGGGACAGAACACAGTCAGGAGGGTTTTACTAGAGAAGAAAATGCAGATCTAGACCCCCAGACTGACTGACTGCACGTGTGTACACATGCACGCATGCATAATGCACTCACACCTGCATGTGCACATGCAGACATGTGCACACATAAGCATGCATGCCCCCCACACACATGTGCACACATGCACGCATGCATAATGCACTCACACCTGCATGTGCACATGCAGACATGTGCACACATAAGCATGCATGCCCCCCACACACATGTGTACACATGCACGCATGCATAATGCACTCACACCTGCATGTGCACATGCACACATGTGCACACATATGCATACATGCCCCCCACACACATGTGTACACATGCACGCATGCATAATGCACTCACACATGCTTGCACGCTCACACACGCATGTGCACACTCACACCCTTGACCTCCTTCAGGGGGCAGGGTCTCCCAGGGGCTGGGCTCATTTCCATCCGAGACCCCTGTTACCAGCAGCTCTGAGGACTGGGAGCTGGTGTCCACACTGGGGTGGTCAGTGGCCGGGCTCTGAAGAGTGAGCCTCCTCCGTGCCCCATCTGGAGAGTCTTCCTGTCTCCGAGCCTTACTGTGGAAGGTTCCCGACGGCCTGCTGGTGGGCAGATATGTGTCCATGTCAGCCATGGGACTCTGGAAGAGCAGTTTTTAAATGTTGGGCTTCATAATTTACTGTTCTTTACCTTACATCAGTAACCTTTTTGATTTTTAATGGAAAATGTGGGGAAACAGCCTCCTAAAGGTAGTGAACTTAGCCAAGTGCCATGAATGTAGTGAGTCTGCTGTGCCTGAATCAGAGGTCTGATGAGTGACGAGTCCCTGTGGTATGTTGAGAGGATGAGCTTGGAAGGGATTTGATTCCCTCTCAGGATCCATGGTTTGCCAATGAGGATGCTTTCAGCAGAATCTCAAACTTCCAACAAGATGGCAATGATTTCTTTTCATTTTTAAAGTGGGCCTGCCAGCACTCGGGCAATAAGGAGTGAGCAGCGCAGGAAAGTCTGCTCATGGCTCTGGAGTCCACAGCTGCGCCGCCGAGGGCAGGCCGGGCAGGCCGGGTAGGCCTGTGCACACTGCTGCCTTCTCTGGGGCATCACGGGGTGCTGCCTGCCAGTGGCCAGTGAGGACTGGCTTTTGGTGCCTGATGGTTTATTTTAAATTAGCAGGTACAGATATGGAATCGATGGTTTAGAATAAGAAGCAGATTTCTTTTGCTCTTGGTGTGAGTTGCTACCTCCCCATAGGTTTCTATGAGCTTAAAAGGCCTGAGAACCCTTGTGGGTGTCCAGAGAGCCAGCCAAAGGGCAGGTGGCGGCCTTGCCAGCTCAGTAGGCTTGGTGTTTGCCAGTGTTTGTCCTCTGCTCATTCACAACTTGAGTTGCAAAGGTGAAAACAGCCTGGTATGCCCAGTCCGGCCCTGCGCCACAGATCTGTGAGGCTGCTACCATGTCCCGGTCGAGCATTGTAAACTGGGAGAGCTGGGCTCCTTGTCCCAGGAGGGCGCCTACTGCGTGTGTTTGTGATGGGTGCTGGGGAGACAAACTCTTTCAGATTGTTTGTTGAGGTTCAAACTTTCTCTTCTTTGGAAATAATTCTGCAGTTGCTCTTTTAGGAAAAAGAAGTTATTTTCTGGTAGGAGAGCCTCTTAGCTATGGTAACAACTGAAGTGTGACTTCCTCATTGCAGCAGCTGTGTTCATAGCTGTTTTACTAAAGCCCCTGGCTGCAGCCAGCCCCTCCCTGGTATCTTTGTTCTCAGAGGCGCCTTGGGCCTGGTCCTCCGGACATGTCTTGAGTGTCTCCGTCAGAGGGGCAGCCTGCACATGTGCCCTGTTCTCTGTAACCACCTGCTGCACACGGAGTACGGTCAGCACCTCAGACGTGCCCTTAGGATGCAGGCTGGAAGCCCCGAATCAGGTGCTGGCAGGACGGGCTCCTTCCAGGGGCCCCAAGGAGAACTTGTCTCCTTTCCTTCCCTGGCTTCTAGAGGTGCCTGTGTTGATTGGCATGGCCCAAGGCAGCATCACATCTCTGAGGGACCCTGGTGATGGCCCTGGCCCACCTGTGACTCAGATGGCGTCTGCATCTCAGGACCCTTGACCTCCCTGCAGAGTTCCTTTGCCACGTGAGATCATGTAGTCACAGGTCCCACGGCATTATTGTGCCTGCCACAGTCTCCAGCCCTCTTAATTCAGAGACTGCCAACCACCCCCATGTGTGCGCGCGCACATGCACACACACGCCTGGTGGGCAGCAGCTCCATCCTGTGTCCCTCCCCATCTGCACTGGTGTCTCTCATCAGTGTGGTCTCTCCTCCTCCTGCTCCCCTGTCCTTGTGCAGATCAGTGGCCACTTGCTCGCAGTTCGGTGTGAGGCCTGGTGTGCCCGGTGCTGTCACCCGTCTGCACTCACAGCCCGCTCGCTTTCCTGTGCTCAGCCTCTCTGCCCTGGCTGTGCCCAGTGTCCTCCACATTCTGTCTTGGCACTTCAGACACTCTAGGTCCAGGTGAGCCCTGATGCTCTCATGTCCTGGCTCCCGCTTCAGACCTGTGCACCACAAGGAGTTGCTTCCTGGAAAGAAGGGGGCAGTCTGGGCCTTGCAGGCCCCAGAGCTCACCCTGTCCTAGTTTCTGAGACAGCTGGGTGGTCTTAAGGGCACCTCTGCTGCTCACTCAGGCAGTGGTGGTGGTGGTGGGGGGGGGGATTGTGCATCTGTCTCCATGTGGCCACCAGCGTGGAGAGGCCTGCCTTGTGCTATAAGAGGCCAGCCTCTGTTGACTGTGTCACCTGGGCTCCCCACCCGTGACCTCTGGCTGGGTACAGCCAGGGGAGGCACTGGCAGGAAATCAGAGGTGGGGGGAAAGGGAGGAGTGAGGGGTTCCGTGACTGCCAAGCCCCACCCTGGGCTGACCCCTCCCCTATAGCTGAGGCTCTTCTTCCTGGGTTTTAACACTGTTTCCTCCTGTTGCTCCTCCCACCTGGACATCTCAACAGCTCCTTGTGGCCAGGCCTAGGTTGTTTCCCCCTCCTTTGCTAGTTTTCCTACCCTGCCCACACCTACTTCAGAGACCTGAACCAAACTCACCTTGATCCCTTCACTAGTGCTGTTTCCAGCACCCTGGCTACTGCAGTGACCTGGCAGTGTCAATATGCCGCTGCACACTGGGAGGGTCGCAGCATAAGAATGGGTGCTGTTTGCTGTATCTCCGGGTGCAGTATCTGCCAGGTGCTCCCAGCTCCTCTCAACCCAGCACCACCACATCACCCTCTGTCCCTCTTCTCCCCTGGTACTCACCACCCTGATGACCCTTCCTGACAAAGGTGACAACACTTATGTGAGATGGAGGCTTCTGGCAGTGAGGGTCGTGCTGTGGTCTGTTTGACTCAGTGGTGGTGTCTGCACTCACTGGTGGGATGGAGGCTTCTGGCAGTGAGGACTGTGTTGTGGTCTGTTTGACTCAGTGGTGAGATATCTTTGCACTCATAGTGGGGACCTGCTGCAGAGCAGTGTTCACAGACACCACTGAGTGGCCGAGGGAGTAAAGGACGTGTGCTGGGGGAGCCAGGGAGACGTTCAGGCAATTTTAACTGTACCAATGGCTTTTCCCTCCCACAGCTGCCGGGCCGCAAGTACCGACCTGGGTACAATGCCGATGTGGGTGACAAGTGGATCTGGCTGAAGTGAGCAGGCTGCCCTCGCCCAGCTGCAGCATAGTGACCAAGAAGTTCTGGCCTGCCTGCTCTCAGGGACTCCACATGGCTCTAAACAGGGGAGTAAATGATCTGAAACTGCGCAGTAGAAGAGACACCTGGCCAGGTGTGCCTGCTGTAGTATAGTAATAGAGTTGGAAGAAATGACTTCCATTTAAAAGGTTTTGGAAGCATCTAGCTTTATTTTGTAATGACCCGTAATTATCACTGGGGAAAAAATGGGTCTACTACGAAAGACCAGCTCTCACCACAAGCCGGTCATTTTAGCACAGCCGCTGTCACGTACATTGTTTCTGTAGACTTCAAGAAATAAAATTGTTTCTATGGAAATTCTCCCCATTGTATATCTGTGCACACATGGGCTATCATACCTGTACACTTGGGCTGTTGTAGATGTACACACATGGGCTGCTGAAGATGTACATGTGTACATATAGACTGTCATAGATCTACACATGCACACGTGGGCTGCTGTAGATGTACATGCACACAGGCTATCGTAGACGTACACATGCACACATAGGCTGCTGTAGATTTATGTGTGCACACAGGCTGTCGTAGATGTACACATGCACACACGGGCTGCTGTACATGTACACATGCACACATGGGCTGTCATACACATGCACACACGGGCTGCTGTACATGTACACATGCACACATGGGCTGTCATCCACATGCACGCAGGCTGCTGTAGATGTACACATG